GGGATGACGGGTCTGGGGTGCGAGGGAATCTGACCAATGAAGGGCCGGTGTTTGGGAGTTATATTGCCTTCATGACACACCTCGGCTGCATTCTTGACCCCCACTGTGAGGTCTGTTATCTGGTGGGCCCTTTCTTTTGTCTTTTAGTCACTACAAGCAGGCCTTTTTTCTTACATACAGGCCTCGCCTGTAGTAAAGACCATTTTCTTTGTGGCCATATTCCAACATTTCCCTTTTGGTCTAGTTCAATTCAATTCAATTCATATTTTACTTGTATGCGCCAATTCATAACAGAAGTTATCTCAGGACACTTTTCAAATACAGCAGGTCCAGACCGAACTCTTTATAACATTATAACATTAGTTAAACACTTCAGATGAACAAATTCATGTTTAAAGGTCTCCTTGGATCCCAACACAAACATGTTTATTTATTATTCAGTTAAAGACAAATAGTTTTATGTCCACTCAGATCGGCTGCTGGTTCAATCCCACACTGTTAGTATATTATAGATATTATTACTGACTGATCATATTACTTATAATCGATAACTATATTATAGATATTATTACTGACTGATCATATTACTTATAATCGATAACTATATTATAGATATTATTACTGACTGATCATATTACTTATAATCAATAACTATATGATAGATATGATTACTGACTGATCATATTATAATCAATAACTATAATATAGATATTATTACTGACGGATCATATTACTTATAATCAATAACTATATTATAGATATTATTACTGGCCCCAACATGCTGAAATGATCATGGAAATTTGCACAAAATTCAAACGAAAATACCGGTATACAGTTGTCCACGGGGACCACCAAATGGCTAATGCCCCGCCCCGCCCCAAGACGCGTAAGGTTGACACGTATGAAAACCGGTACGCATGTGTCTCGTGACAAAAGAAGCAGAAAAGCCTCTTGGACCCATACCTCAAACCCAACAGGAAGTCGGCCATTTTGGATTTTCTACTCCACACTTGGACTCAGCCATCTAAAGGCATTCACGATTAAAAGTTGTGCTATTTACGACATTCCATCGAACATCGTGCCCGTGGCGTGGCGTCCCGTGGCGTCCAATTTCGAACCTTCTCCATGAAAGAGGCATTTTGTCATAAGTTCTGCTTACAGTATCCGACTGCAACGAAACTTCACATTTATGTATGTCTCCTAGAAGATTGACCAGATCCAGCTGAAATTCTGTCAGTGGTCCCTCAGTACGATGACGATGACATCTTATGAATCTTAAGAATTTTCGTGGAACCATGTTGCCATGGTGACGTGGCGAAAATCTGCCTTTTTGTTAACATTTGAACACCTTTTGGGGGGCTAAACATGTAAAAAACTTCATGAAACTTTGCACAAAATTCAGTCATGGCAAAGGCTACAGTATTGTCTTGGTCCTGTAGATGGGTGTTGCATAATGGCTTAGCCACGCCCTCCAGAATCAGCCCCCAAGACACGTAAGACCGAGTTGTATAGAGTGCAAGGGCCCATTCATCGCTGCTTGCAGCTTTAATATAGATATTATTACTGACCTATATTATTACTGACTGATGTCACTGACTGATATTATTACTGACTGATATTATTACTGACTGATATTATTACTGACTGATATCACTGACCGATATTATTACTGACTGATATTATTATAACTGACTGTTATCACTGACTGATATTACTGACGGGGGGGGGAGAGAATAGAGAAGACAGACAGACAGACAGACAGACAACAGTAGCAACAGCTACACTAATAGTAGTGACTGATGATGTTGGCGATGACAACAACGATGGGGGACAATGAGCAGTGACAATAATAATAGTAACTGTAGTAATAATTATAGTAATAATTAAAGCTGCAAGCAGCATTGGGCGGGACCTCGCAGTCCACACAACTCGGGGCATGCTGCGGCCGCGTCACATGCCGTCGTAACATGTGCAGACCACAACATGAAAATTTTGCGTAAATCAGCTCAAAATCGCTATGCAGCGCTTACTTCCTCTTGCCAATAGATGACGCTATCACATTATCTGAATATTATCACACAGACATGTTAAGTCGGGACTTTTATCAAACATTAGTTTTCGTTGAGATTGATCATGTACGCTGAAGTTATGACAACTTCCTTTTTTGAGGCGAGTCGTTGAAATTTGATGCCACGCCATGGGCATGCCATTTAATTCATAGTCACAACTTTTTATCTACAGTTTGTTTTGATTGTACTGACCAATTTTAAAATTGATCCGATATATTCCCTAGGAGGAGTTCTTTCAAATAAAACACACAGGATTTGTGGTATGTGAGGTACAGGCACCAGTCTAGAGGTGCACTGTGAATTTCATATTCATAACGAATACGGTCTCCGCAGAATGATTTACCCTGGCACCAGAGCGGCACCTAGTGGCGGATTGTTGACACATTTTTTAGCGAGCCTCAGGGAGCCATGGGCAATCATCGTACAAAGTTTCACTTTAATCACACGTGCTGATGCGAAGATATAAACTTCTTCATTTGAAAGAGCGCCACCTTGTGGCGATGGTCTCAAATTGTGCACGATGCCTAAGGAAGACATGGGGAACTATGGACCCAAGCTTGGTGTCGATTGGACAATGTACACTCAAGTTATAGTAAATTTGTGTCTTCTGGCGGTACACCAAAGTTTGACGGCACGCCACGGATACGCCGTTCAACGTACAGTCACAAATAGCACAATATTTAATTAGCAATGTTTTTTGAGTGTACTGACCAATTTTGAAGCAGATCCAACAAATCATCTATGAGGAGTTAGTTCAAATACAAGGCAAAAAATTAACCGAAAGTGAAAATTAAAATCCTAATGGCCGACTTCCTCTGGGGTTTGGGGTATAGGTCCAAGAGGCCTTTCTGTAGGTCCCGGCATGTTACACATGCCTACCGAGTTTCATACATGTCGGTGAAACATGGCGCCGGGGCTGCTTTGTTGAAACATTGTAGGGAACGCTACAAACACGACAAATACGATTTTTGGTATGTGAGCTACAGGCACCAGTCTACACGTGCCCTGTGAATTTCATATTCATAACTACACACAGTGATTTACCCTGTCACCAGAGTGCCACCTAGAGGTGGATTGTTGACACATTTATTAGAGAGCCTCAGGGAGCCATGGGCAATCATCGTACCAAGTTTCCTTTTAATCACATGTGCAGATATGGAGATATAAACGTCTTCCTTTTAAAGAGCGCCACCTTGTGGCGGTGGCCTTAAATTGTCCATGATTGTGCACGATGCCTAAGGAAGACATGGGGAACTAGGGACCCAAGTTTGGTGTCAATCGGACATACCAATGTGGAAAAATGCTCCGCTTCCTGTTTTGACGAAAAATGTACAGGAAATGCTAATTTTATAACTTATTATTATTAGCTTATTTTTTTAAATATCAAAATTCTTCAAATTACTTTTTTTGTCAAGATGGTCCCCAGATGCTACGTGAAAAGTTTCATGCAAATACGACAAAGCGCATAGGAGGAACAGGAAAAAGTAGTTTTTGGACATTTTGCACTCTATCAAAAACAAATCGAGGCGGAAATGGGCGTGGCCTATATAAGGAGATGCAGCTCCATTCACCAAACACGTGGATATAAGGTTTTTTGAATGTGCGACAAACGATGCGAGGTTTAAATTCACCGAAAGTGAAAATTAAAATCAAAATGGCCGACTTCCTGTGGGGTTTGGGGCATGGGTCTAAGAGGCTTTTATGTGGGTGTCGGCACGTTACACGTGCCTACCGAGTTTCATACATATCGCCGCATGGATGGAACACAAAACTTAGTTTTTGGACATTTCACGTTCTAGCGGGAAAAAAATCTAGGCGGAAGTGGGCGTGGCCTATATAGGGAGATGCAGCTCCATTCACAGAACGCGTGGATACTAGGTTTTTGAATGTGAGACAAAACATTTGGGAGTAATTAGCCTAATGGACTTTGCTTAAAAGTAGTGCTGCCTAGTGGCCGACCTGAAAGTGACGCGAAGAATATCCAATTTTTCACCATGCCTGACAACTTTGCCAAATAAAATTTACTTTTCGTATATTTTCAGGGAGTCAAAAATGCAGTGAAAGGGACTAATAATAATAAACATAGCAAAAACAATAGGGACCTTCCAGTGGATACTGGCTCGGTCCCTAATTACTGATCCAGATTGTCCTATAATAATAATAATAATTACTGATACAGATTGTCCTATAATAATAGTAATAATTACTGATACAGATTGTCCTATAGTAATAATAATAAAACAAATTACTGATACAGTTTGTCCTATAATAATAATTACTGATACAGATTGTCCTATAATAATAATAATCGCTGATACAGACTGTCCTATAATAATAATATTTATAATAATTACTGATACAGATTGTCCTATAATAATAATAATCGCTGATACAGACTGTCCTATAATAATAATATTTATAATAATTACTGATACAGATTGTCCTATTATAATAATAATATTAATAATAATTACTGATACAGATTGTCCTCTTTATAATATTACTGATACAGATTGTCCTATAATAATAATAATAATTACTGATACAGATTGTCCTATAATAATAATTCGATTGTCCTATAATAATAATAATAATAATAATGATATATTACTGATACAGATTGTCCTATATTGTCTAAATTGTTTTATAATAATAATTACTGATACAGATTGTCCTATAATAATAATAATAATTACTGATACAGATTGTCCTATAATAATAATTACTGATACAGATTGTCCTATAATAATAATTACTGATACAGATTGTCCTATAATAATAATAATAATAATAATAATGATAATAATTACTGATACAGATTGTCCTATAGTAGTAATGAGGGATCGTGACCAGCTTTCATTGTGTCCATGAGGACAGTGAAACGTGGCTGCAGAGATTATCTGTGTGTATAATGATCAGCATGCTGACCACGCTGTGTGTGCGTCTCTTATAAATTCAGCTCTGGGTCTGATCAGCTGTCAGAAAGCTGCTCAACACATCACTGCTGCTCTCAGGTCAGTCCCTGTTTGTTTGTTTGTTTGTTTGTTTGTTTGTTTGTTTACTGCTTTATTATTGATTTATGACAGCCTATAAGTTACTCTTTGATCAATAATCACCAAGGTTTGGCATTTTTAAAAATGATCCAGTTGGTAAAACAAATCAGTTTGACTTGAAAATAACTTTTTAATTTCAGTTTGTTGGACAATAACAGACTGTATTTGTTCCATACCAACATATTTAACATGAATGTGAAAGATATGTGAGAAACAGCCATCATAGTAGAATGTCAACTTATTTCTTCTCAACATTATTCATGTAATTAATATCATCTGAAAAGTCTTACTTTAAATTAGGATCAAAGGCAAACATGAATCAATTAATAAATCCACAAGAGGTCATTCTGGGTTCAACACAGATGCACGTGATTCATACTAGTCAGTGTTTGTACATGTGCAACGCCCCCTACTGGTCTATGTCAACATGTTTCAGGTCCTTATATGGACATCCTGTGAGTTTTATGATGATCTGTCCAGTGGTTGTTGGCTTATGTCAGTTTATGCTCTCAGCCATTTTTTCAAATCAGTCGGACTTACAGTGTGAGGGGGTGTGACCTTTAAAAAACTGGATGCTTGGCCCTTAATTACAGCACCACTATTGGGCGCTTTATATATTACAATATGACAAATTACATGATGATATGAATTCATTGTAACAAAAGAATAAAGAACTGTGATCCTCCATCTGTAGGATTCACTTAAAAACTATGTATGGGGTCTGGTTGAACATATGATTGTTGTTTGACAACAAACAAACAATCAGATAATTTCAGTTGTAAACAATAAGATTGACTGACTGACTGACTGACTGATTGATTGATTGATTGATTGATTGATTAATTAATTACAGAGTCAAGTGTGAATTATCAAAGATCTGGTCGGGACCTCAGTCAGTCACCATGAGTCCTAAACACGTCGTCTTTAAGAAGGTCTCCAAAGACAAGTTGGTAAGTCCAGCAGAGACTGTCCCACCACTGACGGACCCTGGAGCAAGGCACTGAACCCTGAACCCTCTGTGTTTCAGGTGGCGGTCTACATGGCCAAGAGAGACTTTGTGGATCACTGTGACTTTGTTGATCCAGTTGGTGAGTTCAAATTGAACCCAGAAAATCCTTTGAAAGATCAGGTTTATGTCTGATGCTTGGCCATTGTTCTATTAGCTTCTTGTTTATGCTGTATACCTTAAGTGAGATACGGGCCTACTGTGTATATTTTTAAGGTTTTCTTAACCCATTAAATTTAAGAAGGCTACCCAACCACCTGTGAAGGTTTGGTGACCTTTAGTGGGGGTCCCGACCCCCTGGTTGGGAACCACTGCAGTGGAAGAACCATTGTCAATAAAAGGTTTTAATAAGTTCATTTTTGATCAAACTGTTGTCCATGCTCTCCATTGACCCTGTTGTGATGTTCCTTTAATGTTTGAGGTTCAGGGACATTTTGTCTCTCTGTCTTTCAGATGGAGTTATTGTGATCGACCAGGGGCAGCTCAAAGGAAAGAAAGGTCAGTATATTGACTGTTATTATTATAATTATAATTAAAACCAAACTGATGATAAAAATTAACATTTGAACAAACGTCAGCGTAATAAGAACGGCCTAATATCACAGAAACCATCTTTGGGAAACATTTATTTGACTTTTTAATGTTTTGGTTTGTCCCATCTGCTAACATGGAGGCATATGAATGATACTGCAGTCAGCCACCAGGGGGAGACAGAGAGAGTCTCTCTGTTGGAGAGCTGTCATGCCATCTTTATATATATGGATAGTCTGACCTTTATGCAAGAGTCTCAAATACAGTCTAAGATTTTGTGGATCCAGCTGGTCTTTAGTGGTACTGCAAGTTCTTAAGGTTTCAGTAAACTCTAAATACTTGTACTGCAGCATTTGTACATTGTGAACTTAAGCATTTGTTCCACCACTGTGTGGAGCTGAACATTTACATTCATTAAAATGCTGTTAAACTGGTTCCAGTAATTCTTCTAAGACTGTTGGTGACGTTTTTATGTGTCCTCAGTCTATGTGATGCTGTCCTGTACCTTCCGGTATGGCCGTCAGGACATGGACGTGATGGGTGTAGCCTTTAGGAGGGACCTGTTCGTGGTGACCCGGCAGGTTTACCCCGAGCTGCAGGACAAAGAGAAGCTGACTCACACCAAGGTCCAGCAGAAACTGCTCCACAAGCTGGGAGACAACGCTTTCCCCTTCTTCTTTGAGGTGAGTCCACATTAACCATCAATCCATCGGTTGTACAGGCCCTTGCACAAGACCCAGAACAGGGCCCTGGAGAGGCCCCAGATCAGGGTCCTAGACAGAACCTCTAATGGTGATGATGATTCATTCCTTTTCATTACAATAAGTTTGTGTTTGTGTTCCAGTTTCCAGACAACCTGCCGTGTTCTATTGCTCTACAGCCTGGACCCTCTGATGTAGGAAAGGTGAGTCCATCATCATGTCATCATCTGTCTGTTACTTATAATGTAAATATATTTATATATAAATAATATACATCATCAGTCTGTTTATATCATACTGGCTGAGGACTGAAATGTTGAATAGTGTCAGTGTCATATTTCACTCTGTTCACATGAATCTTGTGACAAGAAAAGGAAACTGCAAAAGAGTGACATCATCAGCATAAAGTTCTATTCTGTGTTAAAAGGTTAGATTTATTGATTCATTGATTTATTGACCCCTGATATTTTCTAGTAAGTCGACTTGAACCCACCCAACCTGGGTTGTAGGTCGACCTGCTCTGATCCAGTTTGTTATGTAGATTAAAATATTCCCGGGATGGCCCACATTTCGTACCATGCCGAGTGTGTTTATATGTGTCTGTCTGACAGAAATGTGCAGTGGAGTTTGAGGTTAAAGCTTTCTGTTGTGAAAATCAGGACGAGAAGATCAACAAACAGTGAGTTCACCAACAGACTTTATATTAATATTAGTAGTAGTTGTATTAGTAGTATTATTATTGTACCGTTTCATTATCCTTTCATATGATAATTTATGATCTATGATATATATTATGTTTGATATATAAATTATACATTTGTTGTGTTTGTGCAGGAGTTCAGTTCGTCTTACCATTCGTAAGATCCAGTTCAGTCCAGAGAACAGTAAACTGGTTCCAGTAGCAGAAACTACCTTTGAGTTCCTGATGTCTGAAAAGCCTCTGCACCTCAAACTGAGTCTGCCCAAAGAGGTGAGACACACAGACAGACAGACAGACAGACAGACATAGTCGTCTCCATGTTGGTGTTAAGCAGCCAGCAGAGGTCACGTACAGCGAGTTGAGCTGCTCTCATTGGCTGCTCTTGGTTTGGAAAAAATGGCGTCTCTCCTGCTCACACAGGATCTGGTATTCCAGATAAACATTAAAATGTGTTTGTGAACAGATTTGAGGAGAGAAATAGTCAACAACAGAATCTGGATCCATATCTGATCAGCACTGTTTGACAGTTTGATCTGAGTTTGGTGCATTGAGCTGGACGGACTCACTGAGAATGAGCTGTCAATCACAAGGTAGCCCCGCCCTAAAGCATACCCTGCTTTATGGTCTGTTTTACTCTAAATGGGACCATCAGTTACTAAATGAACATCATGCTGTATGGAAGAAGACTGAAACTAGAGACTGAGACCAGGAACTCATCAGGAAACTGTTTACTGTGCTCATCAATCAACTTCAGACTCAATACTATCAGAGTGGAGCTGCCCCCTGCTGGCTGTTAGAGAGAATGCAGCTTTAACACACTGTTATATAAACTATTATTATAGAAACTGTCAATGGTTTCACCCAGCAGAATTATTTTCCTGTTTGTTGTTACTTTGTTTTGTTAAATGTGTCTGTCTGCCTGTCTGTCTGCAGACGTTCTACCACGGAGAACCCATCCCAGTCACTGTAGAAATCACCAACTCGTCCAGCAGGAACATCAAAGACATCAGTGTGTCAGGTGCTTATTCTTCTGATCACTTATTGATGATAGATCATATAGATCAGTTATTGATGACGTGTAAATCAGTTATTGATGATCAATAACTTATATTAACTTTCTGATCAATGATGTGTTTAGTTGAACAGGTGACCAACATTGTTCTTTACTCCAACGACAAGTACGTCAAATCAGTGGCCAAAGAGGAGACCAGGTGAGTCCAACATTATGGTTACATACATTATGTCTAATGTACATACTGTATATACTGTCTATACTGTATAAATATATTATATACATTATATATAATGTGCAAATATAATGTATATAGTGGCACATTATATATAATGTACATATATACTGTATGTACATTATATACAGTATATATATATATATTATATGTATATATATTATATACAGTATATATAATGTACATATATACTGTTTGCACATTATATACATTATATATAATGTATATGTTTGGAACCAAACTGTGCAGCTCGTTAGTAGAAACTGCAGTTAACAGTTTTCAGTTCAGTCTGAGAAGACGTAGTGAGGACATAATCTGAATCTGTGTCTCTGCAGTGACTCCGTCCCCTCTGGAACCAGTCTGAAGAAGGACTACACTCTGTATCCTCTGCTGGCTCACAACAAGGACAGGAGAGGACTCGCTCTGGACGGACGACTCAAACACGAAGACACTAATCTGGCTTCATCTAGCATGTGAGACACACAGAGACACACTGAGAGACACTGAGAGACACAGACACACTGAAAGACAATGAAAGATACTGAGAGACACTGAGACACACTGAGACACACAGACACACTGAGACACACTGAGACACACGGACACACTGAGAGACACTGAGACACACAGACACACTGAGAGACACTGAGACACACTGAGACACACGGACACACTGAGAGACACTGAGACACACAGACACACTGAGAGACACTGAGACACACAGAGAGACACTGAGACACACAGACAAACTGAGAGACACTGAGACACACTGAGAGACACTGAGACACACAGAGAGACACTGAGAGACACACAGACACACTGAGAGACACTGAGAGACACTAAGACACACTGAGAGACACAGACACACTGAGAGACACTGAACGACACTGAGACACACAGACACACTGAGAGACAATGAAAGATACTGAGAGACACTGAGACACACTGAGAGACACTGAGACACACAGAGAGACACTGAGAGACACAGAGACACTGAGAGACACTGAGAGACACTGAGAGACACTAAGACACACTGAGAGACACAGACACACTGAGAGACACTGAACGACACTGAGACACACAGACACACAGAGACACACTGAGAGACACTGAGAGACACAGACACACTGAAAGACAATGAAAGATACTGAGAGACACTGAGACACACTGAGACACACAGACACACTGAGACACACTGAGACACACGGACACACTGAGAGACACTGAGACACACAGACACACTGAGAGACACTGAGACACACTGAGACACACGGACACACTGAGAGACACTGAGACACACAGACACACTGAGAGACACTGAGACACACAGACAAACTGAGAGACACTGAGACACACTGAGAGACACTGAGACACACAGAGAGACACTGAGAGACACAGACACACTGAGAGACACTGAGAGACACTAAGACACACTGAGAGACACAGACACACTGAGAGACACTGAACGACACTGAGACACACAGACACACTGAGAGACAATGAAAGATACTGAGAGACACTGAGACACACTGAGACACACAGACACACTGAGACACACTGAGACACACGGACACACTGAGAGACACTGAGACACACTGAGAGACACTGAGAGACACTGAGACACACTGAGAGACACTGAGACACACAGAGAGACACTGAGACACACAGACAAACTGAGAGACACTGAGAGACACAGACACACTGAGAGACACTGAGACACACTGAGACACACTGAGAGACACAGACACACTGAGAGACACTGAACGACACTGAGACACACAGACACACTGAGAGACACCGAGAGACACTGAGACACACAGACACACTGAGAGACACTGAGAGACACTGAGACACACAGACACACTGAGAGACACTGAGAGACACAGACACACTGAGAGACAATGAAAGATACTGAGAGACACTGAGACACACTGAGACACACAGACACACTGAGACACACTGAGACACACTGAGACACACGGACACACTGAGAGACACTGAGACACACAGACACACTGAGAGACACTGAGACACACTGAGAGACACTGAGAGACACTGAGACACACAGACACACTGAGAGACACTGAGAGACACAGACACACTGAGAGACAATGAAAGATACTGAGACACACTGAGACACACAGACACACTGAGACACACTGAGACACACTGAGACACACGGACACACTGAGAGACACTGAGACACACAGACACACTGAGAGACACTGAGACACACAGACACACTGAGAGACACTGAGAGACACTGAGACACACTGAGAGACACTGAGACACACAGAGAGACAATGAGACACACAGACAAACGGAGAGACACTGAGAGACACAGACACACTGAGAGACACTGAGACACACTGAGAGACACAGACACACTGAGAGACACTGAACGACACTGAGACACACAGACACACTGAGAGACACTGAGAGACACTGAGACACAGACACACTGAGAGACACTGAGACACACAGACACACTGAGAGACACTGAGAGACACAGACACACTGAGAGACACTGAGAGACACTGAGACACACTGAGACACACAGACACACTGAGAGACACTGAGACACACTGAGACACACTGAGACACACAGACACACTGAGAGACACAGACACACTGAGACACACTGAGAGACACTGAGACACACAGACACACTGAGAGACACTGAGAGACACTGAGACACACAGAGAGACACTGAGACACACAGACAAACTGAGAGACACTGAGAGACACAGACACACTGAGAGACACTGAGAGACACAGACACACTGAGAGACACTGAGAGACACACAGACACACTGAGAGACACAGACACACTGAGAGACACTGAAAGACACTGAGACACACAGACACACTGAGAGACACTGAGACACACTGAGAGACACAGACACACTGAGAGACACTGAGACACACAGACACACTGAGAGACACTGAGAGACACTGAGACACACAGACACACTGAGAGACACTGAGAGACACAGACACACTGAGAGACACTGAGACACACAGACACACTGAGAGACACTGAGACACACAGACACACTGAGAGACACTGAGAGACACTGAGAGACACAGACACACTGAGAGACACTGAGACACACTGAGACACACAGACACACTGAGAGACACTGAGAGACACAGACACACTGAGAGACACTGAGAGACACTGAGACACACTGAGAGACACAGACACACTGAGAGACACTGAGAGACACAGACACACTGAGAGACACTGAGACACACAGACACACTGAGAGACACTGAGACACACAGACACACTGAGAGACACTGAGACACACAGACACACTGAGAGACACTGAGAGACACAGACACACTGAGAGACACTGAGACACACAGACACACTGAGAGACACTGAGAGACACTGAGACACACAGAGAGACACTGAGACACACAGACAAACTGAGAGACACTGAGAGACACAGACACACTGAGAGACACTGAGAGACACAGACACACTGAGAGACACTGAGAGACACACAGACACACTGAGAGACACAGACACACTGAGAGACACTGAAAGACACTGAGACACACAGACACACTGAGAGACACTGAGACACACAGACACACTGAGAGACACAGACACACTGAGAGACACTGAAAGACACTGAGACACACAGACACACTGAGAGACACTGAGAGACACTGAGACACACAGACACACTGAGAGACACTGAGAGACACAGACACACTGAGAGACACTGAGACACACAGACACACTGAGAGACACTGAGACACACAGACACACTGAGAGACACTGAGAGACACTGAGAGACACAGACACACTGAGAGACACTGAGACACACTGAGACACACAGACACACTGAGAGACACTGAGAGACACAGACACACTGAGAGACACTGAGAGACACTGAGACACACTGAGAGACACAGACACACTGAGAGACACTGAGAGACACAGACACACTGAGAGACACTGAGACACACAGACACACTGAGAGACACTGAGAGACACAGACACACTGAGAGACACTGAGACACACAGACACACTGAGAGACACAGACAAGATGATAATATATCTCTAACAAAGACTACTTTGTCTCTTTGTGTCTTTGTGTCTCTGTGTCTCAGAGTGAAGCAGGAGGTGCTGAAGGAGGTCCAGGGGATGCTCGTCTCCTATAAGGTCATAGTGAGGATGATCGCCTCTGGGTGAGTGTGAACCGCTCTGCATTCTGGGAGCTCAGCTGACTGACTTCCTGTTTGTTAGTAATGAAAGAGTTATTGTTCCAACAGGAACCCGATAATAATAATAATAACAATAATAATATATTGATCTATAATCAGTCTCATTTGACAGTTTAGTGACATCACTGTTTTTATTTATGAGACAATAAAAGTTCATCAGTTGTTCCTGAACTCATCACGTCTCTGTTCTCTGTCACTGACAGCACCATCGGATCCAGGTAACAACTGTCTGTCTGCCTGTCTGCCTGCCTGTCTGCCTGACTGCCTGTCTGTCTGAATGTCTGTCTGTCTGCCTGTCTGTCTGTCTGTCTGTCTGCCTGTCTGTCTGCTTGTCTGTCTGTCTGCCTGCCTGCCTGTCTGTCTGCCTGTCTGTCTGTTGTCTGTCTGTCTGCCTGCCTGCCTGTCTCTCTCTGTCTGTCTGTCTGTCTGTCTGTCTGTCTGTGTGTCTGTCTTACAGTGAAGTGTCATTGGAGCTTCCTTTCAAGCTGATGCATTCTAACCCTGAACCAGGTACAGGTCTTCCTCCTCTTCCTCTGGGTTTCTTTACTTCCCTGCTGACAAATCAGAAGCTGTGTGTGTGTGTGTGTGTGTGTAAGCAGCTTGCTGTATATCGCTGACTGCAGTCAATCAGCTCAACAACAACTTGAGTCACATCCTGAAGATTAACAGATTAATTACTGCTGATCAATACACATTCACACACACACACACACACACACACACACACACACACACACACACACACGCGTCTGTGTGGACCCTCAGTGATCCATAATCCTCCTCCAGACCTGAACCTGAAGCGCTTTAACCCTCCTGTAGATGTGTAGGAATATTATTGTTTTTTATTATAACTTCCATTCATATGTTCAGTCTGATATTGATTGAGTGAGAACAGGTTGTATTGATATTAGTGCTGTCAAACGATTAAAATATTTAATCGCGATTAATCGCATTAATGTCATAGTTAACTTGCAATTAATCGCACATTTTTATCTATTCTAAATGTCCCTTGATTTCTTTTTGTCCCATTATTTTTTCTCATTTCAATGCTCTTATCAACATGGAAAAGTGGATCGGCTTGCGTTGTGCAAATGTTTTTATTGAAAACAACATTGGCATATACTGTAGTGTTCAATATCACATTAACAGTCTCACTTGGAGCAAATAATCTCTCACACAATGTAACACTGTCCATCAATAAAAGGGTGAAAAAATACTTTGTCACACAAACAGCCCCTTCAACAGCCCTTTCTAAGGGATCAAAACAGGGCGATACAAAATAAAATTACAAAGTGCACATGTAAGGTAAACTAGGACTCAGCCTATAGTGCAGTTAAACCATGGCTTAATACTTTTCTCAAGTTTGCTTTGAACATAGCAGTCAGGCTACTGCTCTTTATTCACCAGAGGCTCAACCCAGCCTCTTATTTCAGAAAGAATGAACAGTAACGGTTACCAATAAAAGGAAAGCCTACTACTTCTTTGCTTTGAGCCAGTTACTCAAACAGACAAGCCTGTTGACATTTTCAGACAACAAGGAATTCATCCATTTCGGCGTCTCGCGCTCGCCATCCACTCAAAACGTAACGTCTACTACTCTTAAACAAGTGTGTGTGGGGTGCCTGTTGTTTTGTTTCCGGTCTAGCTAGATCCGGTGTGGTGTTGTAGTTTTTCTAACGTTACTAGTTGTTGCAACAGCATGTGAAAAAACTATAAAGTGAGCTAGGCGTTAATCTTGCGATAAAAAAATTGACGCCGTTAAAATGGGTTTGCGTTAACGCTGTTAATAACGCATTAAACTGACAGCACTAATTGATATGTGATCTGATGTTATATAAATACATATATATATATATATATATTTGTTTGTATATATTTGTATATTTATGTTTATATTTTCTTGTGTCTGAACTCCACTGCACTGCAGCCAAAGAGGGGTAAGATCTCTTTTACTATATTCTATATAATATAAATGATCATATTATTATTATTATAATATATATTTATAATAATGATTATTAGATATAATAATAATAATATATTACTAAAAATATATGGTTATTATTATTATTACAACAACAACAACAACAGTGGGAGGGAGGTGCAACATCCATCATTTACTCATTAACAGTTTGTTACATTCATAAAGTCTCTTATTAAAAGTTGTCTGTCTCACCTGTCTGCCTCACCTGTGTATCTCACGTGTGAGTGAGCTCAGGAGGAGCAAGTGTGGGCGGAGTTAACGAGCTGTCTAATCAGCCCCTCCCCTCCGTGTGTCTCAGCGAATCAGACGACATGGTGTTTGAGGAGTTTAAACGAGCCTACCTGAAGGGTGTGGTCTACGGAAGCGACGACGAGTCCCCCACAGAGGCGTAAAGACTTCAAAGATGGCCGCCCTGCAGTGGGACTGTAGATGATTCGTGCAGCGCCCCCCGAGGACAGAATGAGAAGTGCAGCCTGCGGGTGGCGCTCATAGAGATTATGTCCCGAACTGATCATTTCTAGTTAATGTGATCAATCAATGTGACTGTAGATAACGAGCCTGGAACGTATTTAAAGGTAAACGATTAATTAATGTAACTTTATTAATTACAATGTCATAAATGTAAAAGAAAGACAATCAGAGATATCTGTGACTGTCACTCATATAAAAACTGCCCTGAATAAAAGCTGCTTGTGTCATATTGATTATATATTAATTCATTACTAACATTAATAATATTTGTACATTCACGGCCCAGACAGTGTTTCTATTCCAGCTAGTACTTATGTAGTACTTATATATTATTTATATAGTACTTTATGTAGTATTTATATAGTACTTTATGTAGTATTTATATAGTACTTTATGTAATATTTATATAGTACGTTATGTAGTATTTATGGATTATTTCTATAGTACTTCATGTAGTATTTATATAGTACTTTATGTAGTACTTTATGTAGTATTTATATTGTATTTTATGTAATATTTATATAGTACGTTATGTAGTATTTATGGTTTTTTATAGTACTTCTGTAGTTTTTTAGTACTTTATGTAGTACTTTATGTAGTATTTATATAGTACTTTATGTAATATTTATATAGTACGTTATGTAGTATTTATGGATTATTTCTATAGTACTTCATGTAGTATTTATATAGTACTTTATGTAAATGGACCTGTACTTGTATAGCGCCTTTCTAGTCTTCCGACCACTCAAAGCGCTTTTACACTATGTGCCACATTCACCCTTTCACACACATTCACTCAGTGATGGCAAAGTCCATTGAACAGAAACTAACATTCATACACCAATGCACAGCAACGGCACCAATGCACGGCATCGGGAGACATGTGGCACCAGGAGCTGGGGATCGAACCCACAACCTTCCAATTAAGGAACGACCCGCTCTGCCTCTGAGCCACGCCGATAATTATTAGATTTATATAGTACTTTATATAGTACTTTATGTAGTATTTATATAGTAGTTTATGTATTATTTATATAGTACTTTATGTAGTATTTATATAGTACTTTATATAGTATTTATGTAGTACTTTATGTAGTATTTATATAGTACTTTATATAGTACTTTATGTAGTATTTATATAGTAGTTTATGTATTATTTATATAGTACTTTATGTAGTATTTATATAGTACTTTATATAGTATTTATGTAGTACTTTATGTAGTATTTATATAGTACTTCATGTAGTATTTATGTATTATTTATATAGTACTTCATGTAGTATTTATATAGTACTTTATATAGTACTTCATGTAGCAAAAATACCAGTGTAAACATGTAGTATTTATATTCAATTCAATTTTATTTGTATAGCGCCAATTCGTAACAAAAGTTATCTCAGGACACTTCAAATAGAGCAGGTCTAGACCGAACTCTTTATTTATATAGTACTTCATATAGTACTTCATGTAGTATTTATATAGTAATTTATATAGTACTTCATGTAGTATTTATATAGTACTTTATATAGTACTTCATGTAGCAAAAATACCAGTGTAAACATGTAAATAAACAATATCAATAAGTTATTGATTGAATATTGACACAGACAGCTGAAGGTTTCTGTAATTTATTTTCCATCTTCTGACAACAGTCAACAGACTCAGTTAAAACAGGCATTATGGGTAATCAATATCTGGATCAATATCTGCCCATAATAACAGTGTAACTTTTCTTACAGTTTGTTGAAGATTGAGATTGATATTGATCACAGTTTGATTATTGATTGACCATGGAGACTTTATAATATTCAAAAATAAAAACAAAAGTACTTCAGACAACATTGATTTTATTTTATGATCATTCGATTGATTTCATTTTTTCTCTCTAGAAACAATGAATCTGTTTTTAGTTCTGGTGCAAACAAACAGGAAGATAATCTACGGGGTCCCTGAAGGCCCAACAGATTATATTTTGAACTTGTGCTCAGGAGGTTTTATAATATTCTGTGAAAATATTTTGACGCCCTGATTTTAGTTTCTGGGAGGTTTCCGGGTTCAGGTTCCTCCTCAGATATCAGGTCAGAAGTGCTTCGTTAGACATTTGATGTGTCTGGGTGTGATGATCCAAACACACCTGGCTGTTTTTGTTCCTTTGTTGGAGAACAGAGCAGAGATACTTTAGGGAAACCCTCCCCAGTGGAGACAATGTGGATCTAAAGCAAGCTCTGGTATCCATTTACAGCCACGCTGTAGGATCAGTATCAGGGGATCATCGGATGACTCGCTGCCCCTAAAAACACTAACAACGCACTGGTTTACATACAAAGAGGGCAAAGAGATAGTAGATAAATAGAAACCATCATGCCAACACGACAGGATGTTATTACAGCAGTCCTCACAAACAGCTTCTATAAGAGTCGACGCCGAGAGAATAACAAACAGCTCTGATCAGAACCAAACACACACCGGTGGACCCACACTGAATCCCTGTGCAGTGGTTGGCTGGAATATAAAACATTTTATTTAACCCATTTTAATCCATTCGTACAAGATTATTGGTCAAATTACTAAACTCAGGTCACAGGTTACCATTTTCATTCTGAACACACAGATCTTTACTATCGCAGCAGCTTTTGGGAACGTCAGCTGGTTTTCCCCTAAAGGAGGCCCTCATGGATACAGATCAAAGCTCCTGGTTTTAGGTGGTTGGAAATACATTTTTAAGGAATGGGAACTTTTGTGTGACTCCTACGAGAGTCTGGACCTTGTAAACTGTCTTCATACTGAAGAAGAAATTCAAAATAAGAGAAAATTAGTGAATGCTGCAAGTTCTCCTAAATCCTACAAACCAATTAAGGACAGATTTGTCTGTATGAGTGGCTCTTGTATGAGGCCCAATGTGCATTGTTTGGTAGACGTCAATAGTGTTAATGAATTTGTCAACAGTTAAGGGGGTCTCTTTTCATGGGTCAGACTAATCTAATCCTCATACTGAGCATTTGTTGGTTGATTGGTGTAAGAATATCAATGTACGGAGGTCTCTCTTCTACTGGCGACCAAAAACTATTTATTCATCACTAAAGCTAATTGAATCCTCCACCAGCTGGTGAAGTTGGGGGTTTGGCGGTGCTGGACTCAGGGGTGCCGTCCCAGGTGTATCCCCCCTGTGGTGGGCTTATTGGGGGCATGGGTGATCTAAGTATGGCCATATCACAGTTATCAGGGTGGAGCAAGTACCCAGAGAAGGTACTGCTGGACTCAATGCCAGCAAACATACCATTAGTAACCTGATCCTTCACCTGGATCCACACCCGGTGACCACGGGCCAGGTGGAGGACTACTGAATGTGAGGTGGTCCCTAACAGTTTGGTCTCAGTGGTTTTGATAACCGGTCTGAAGTTGTGGAAGAGGCCAACTTTGAGGACTCGTTCGTGGACTGTGATATGGTAACTGAGGATGTAGGTGCCGTTGACGGGAGCGGTGTAGATTCCAGTGCTGGGGTCATAGCTGCCCTGGATGTTGTACAGGACTTGGGAGAAGACCACTGGGGCTTGGGGTGGTGGGTAGCTGGACTCCAGACCTGCAGCAAATGCTGACTGGATGTTGGACATGCAGGGACCAGGAAGACCCATCATCCCCATGAGCCCCATGTCCCCCTTATCCCCCTTTGGCCCTCCCTGCCCCGCAATCCCCATCTGTCCCTCATCCCCCTTGTTTCCTTTATCTCCATTATTCCCTGCAGCCCCATCTACCCCATCTGTACAGTTACAGTCCCCCTGAGGACCTGGTTCTCCTTTCTGACCCGCAGATCCAGGGACACCAGGTTGACCCAGATCCCCTGTGTCACCCTTCTCGCCTTTGGGACCCAGAAGTCCTGGGATACCAGGAAGACCTCTAGATCCTACAGGGCCAGGAAGACCAGATGGTCCTGGGGGACCCTGGCTTGACTCGCAGGCATCTGGACAGAACCCATCATCTCCTTTAAGACCCTGATCACCTGGAGGGCCCTCCAGACCTTGTTCGCCTTTGTCACCTTCAGGACAACAAAAACCAGGTCAGAGGCTGGAACTGAAACCCTGTCCCTGATAACTGGGACTAGTTTGTAGCTCACCTTTGAATCCTCTGTCTCCTTTGGGTCCAAAAACACCCTGGGGCCCTCTGTCTCCCTTCTCACCCTCGTCTCCTTTCTGTCCTGAGGGCCCAACACACCAACGCAGTCAGAAACTCGCAGTATAGCAGGAGTTTACACAGCAGTATTAGCAGTACACATAGTAGTAGTTGTAGTAATAATAGTAGTAGTAGTTGTAGTAGTAGTAGTAGTAGTAGTAGCAGCAGTAGAAGTAGTAGTAGTAGTAGAAGTAATAGTAGTAGTAGTAGTAGTAGTAGTAGTAGAAGTAATAGTAGTAGCAGTAGTAGTAGTAGAAGTAATAGTAGTAGTAGTAGTAGTAGTAGTAGTAGTAGAAGTAATAGTAGTAGTAGTAGTAGTAGTAGTAGTAGTAGAAGTAATAGTAATAGTAGTAGTAGTTGTTGTAGTAGCGGTAGAAGTAGTTGTAGTAGTAGTAGTAGAAGTAGTAGTAGTAGTAATAGTAGTTGTAGTAGCAGTAGAAGTAGTTGTAGTAGTAGTAGTAGTAGTAGTAGTAGAAGTTATAGTAGTAGTAGTTGTAGTAGCAGTAGAAGTAGTAGTAGTAGTAATAGTAGTAGCAGTAATAGTAGTTGTAGTAGTAGTAGTAGTAATGGTAGTAGTAGTAGTAGTAGAAGTAGTAGTAGAAGTAATAGTAGTAATAGTAGTTGTAGTAGTAGTAGTAGTAGTAGTAATAGTAGTAGCAGTAATAGTAGTTGTAGTAGTAGTAGTAGTAGTAGTAATAGTAGTAGCAGTAATAGTAGTTGTAGTAGTAGTAGTAGTCGTAGTAGTAATAGTAGTAGCAGTAATAGTAGTTGTAGTAGTAGCAGTAGTAATAGTCCAATGAGGCGTGTTGAGAGAGCAGAGGATGATAGGAACTTGTTTACCTTTGACTCCTTGTCTGCCTGTAAAACCTGGAGGACCTCTGAACCCCGTCATCCCTCTTCGTCCAGGGCTACCTGGAGTACCTGAGAGGACACAGATCTGTTATCTCACCAACAGACCACAGTATGTGAGGCTCCAACACTTTGTGTCTGACGTTGTGCTCTGCAACATAGGTGCCCCTCAGGGTACGGTGCTCTCTCCCTTCCTCTTCACCCTTTACACCTCGGACTTTACCCACAATTCCACGCTCTGCCATATCCAGAAGTTCTCAGATGACACAGCCATTGTTGGATGCGTTTCTGAGGGGAACAAACTTGAATACAGGACTGTTATCAGGGACTTTGTCAGCTGGTGTGAGCTCAACCAGCTTCAGCTAAACACTAGCAAGACGAAGGAGATGATCGTTAACTTCAGGAGGAAAACATCCCACTTCACCCCGGTGAACATCCAGGGATTGGACATTGAGGGGGTAGATAATTATAAATTCCTGGGTGTTCACCTCAATAAAAAACTGGACTGGACTGACAACACCCATGCTATCTACAAGAAGGGCCAGATTCGCCTCCACCTCCTTCGGAGTAAGCAGGGCTCTCCTTAAGACTTTTTATGACTCTGTGGTTGCTTCAGCCATCTTCTATGCTGTGGTCTGCTGGAGTGGGGGCAGTACGGACAGGGACAAAAAGAGACTCAATAAACTGATCAGGAGAGCGAGCTCTGTCCCGGACTGTCCTCTGGACTCCATTGAGGAAGTGGGTGAAAGGAGGATGTTAGTGAAGCTGACTCCCATCATGGACAACACCTCTCACCCCCTACATGACACTGTGGGGTCCCTAAGTAGCTCCTTCAGCAGCAGACTGTTACACCCACGGTGTAAGAAGGAGAGGTTCCGCAGGTCTTTCATCCCTGCCGCTGTCAGACTCTACAACACCTGATCAATGTTGTAGTTTCTGTTTTTTTTTTTCAAATTACCACTATACTGTAGTTAAGTTTTTATCATAGTTTTTTATATCTGTATTTATTTATTTCAAGTAATTGCTGCTGTGACAAGGAAATTTCCCCGTTGTGGGATTAATAAAGTAATACAATACAATACAATACAATATCTTTACTGCTAGTGATCAATAATAATAATGATCTCTAAATGTGTCGGCAATAGTTGAACATAGGCTCTTATTATATTTCTATGTACTGTAACAACTGTAGCAATGATTCTAATATATTCCATTTATTACAGATGATTATCTGTCGCTACCTTTAGAACTGCAGTATTAGGAGTATTATGGCTCTCTGTGTGTTACCTGGTAGTCCGCGGTCTCCTCGGTCTCCCTTGGGCCCCTTGCTGCTCTGGCAGTATGTGCAGAGACAGAACCAGGGGATCTGGTCTGCAGGTAAGGGGACCGGTGCCTGCAGCAGCGTCTGGCAGTATGCCTCCAGGGCCCCAGCCGGCGCCTCTGTTGCGTTGACTACATCAGGGTAAAAATTGAGTCTGGGGCCGTTCATGGGTGGGTAGGGGGGCGTGGGAGGAGTGCCGAAGGGGGGCTCCCAGCCTTCCTCGGAGATAGGTGCAGGCGTCGCTGTGACAACGGGGAGGGGAATCGCCATCAGCAGTAGGTGAAGAATGAAGGTCTGCATGGTCTGAACAGAGAAGTTTCCCATCAGCCACCAGTGTTTACATCATTTCTGTCAAACATGATCAACACCGTAAAGAACCTGAAACATCCTGAAGTATCTTAAAGTAAATCCTACCGATGCCCTCACATAGGAAACCATCTCTGAATGTGAGATAGGTGAGACAGGAAGGTGCACGCAGTCTGGCTAACTGCTGTAAAAATATTTATAAATCAACTTGCCACTGTGTCTCAGTCATGCATAATTCCTTCAACTGCAACAATATTCATGTTTTTTATTGCAATCATTAAACCTCCGAACGAACTTCCGGTTTGACGATGTAGAGGACGGACGTGTGGGGCATACCTCCGTACAATTTCGTGAAAATTTGTTAATTACATCATTCTTTCAAGTATATTTTCGGTGTAACTACCTATTTTAATGAACGTCGCGCTGAACCTGCATAAGAATGAGTAAACAATCTCGGAAAAGTCAGGTACAACAACAGACTCTCCCCTTCTCTGGTCGGGAAGCTAGCAACATGGCGTCAGGGCCTTCCCCTCTCACTTTGGAAACGCTAATCATCGAACTGGAAAAATCTAGGAAAAGCACTACTGCGGAGCTCACCGCCTCTTTGAATGCGGCCCTCGCCCCAATTAATTCAGCTCTTGAGTCCATTGCCACCACTGTGGCTAAACACACTTCTACAATTTCGGAGATGGAAACGGCCCTCTCGACCCACTCGGATAACATCACTAGCCTGGAGCAAGACGTAGTGGAGCTACGCTCCAAGCTAACCTCTATAACGGAAGAGAACAGTGCTCTCCAGGCTGCCTTGGAGGACTTGGTGTCTCGCTCAAAGCATCAGAATCTAAGAGTGATTGGACTTCCTGAAGACATTGAAGGTAACAACCCGAGACAATTCATGGCTGATTTATTCAAGGAAGTGGCTACAGACGCTACAGATCGAACTCCACACCTGAACTAGACTGTGCCCATCGTAGTCTCAGACCCAAACCTCGTCAAAGATCCTGCCCTGTGATAGTGCGCTTTCACCGCTACATCGATAAAGAGAGAGTGTTGCTTTGGGCAAAGGAACACCGCAATATGATTTATCGGGGTCATAACATCAAGTTTTACGAAGACTTCAGTGCTGCAGTGGCGAAGAGGCGAGCTGCTTTCAACCAGGTGAAATCCTAGCCCTGCCCGGCTGCGCGTCACTTTCAACGGTGTGACCCACATCTTCGACTCCCCGGAGCAAGCGGAGCTGTTTTACGAGGAACGCATACGCGACTCATGAAAGAGGGAACGGGTGGAACGATCACCGATTCATGTGAATTAACGATTCTCTTGGGACCATTATCTTTATTTATTTATTTTTTTAATTTTTTGCTGGACTTTCTCGAGGTAAGGCGCGACTACACTGTTGAAATGGACCACAGACTATGAACAGTACCACATATTACTCCATCCTATCTCCAGTTAGATGCGGACAGTAGTTAAATATCATGGCCAGCTGTTTTGCTTTATTCCGCCTGTGGCTTTTGTGTTTTGTTTATATATAAAATGTCTTGTCTGTTCAAGGAAACACACTCTTAATTCCCTGACATGTGGGTATTAAAATCCACCACTGTCTTTACTTTGTATGGGGCTTGAAGTCACCAGTCTATGGCCTGAAACAATTTATTTTAGTGTATTTTTTTTAATTTTATTTGTATTTTTACTTTTATTTTTTATTATTCACTTCGTAATTTTAAAGAGGGATTCTCTCCTATCTTTGCCTGCACATTTTAGCTGGAGGATTATATGTTCAATCTGGTACAATTACAGGTCCTTCCTTTTCCCGCCTTTCAGTGTTACTCCAGATTGCTTTCATAAATAGGTGTTACAAACTTTTATATGGCGTATATTTTGGTTCTTCAGGAGGTAGAACCTACTGCATGGTAAACCGGTTGTGTATACTCCAGTCTTGCAACTCGTCTTGTTCCGTTACGACGAGCTTAGGAAGCAACTTGTTGGATGGCTTACAGTCTATACACTGGCCAGTGTGTTTTTGGGAGGTATGTGTGTTCTTTCTTTACTTACTGGGAGGTTTTTTGTGTTTCTTTCTTAAAGCTAACTTCATTTGGATGCTACCGTGATGCTCATCTGGTTCCTAACCAGGATGCTCATTTATTTCCTGCCATTCTTATTAATATCTTTGCATTTAATCATTCACAAGTGATTAATGGTTAGCCCAAGTATCTCCCAGAGAGGACTGAGTGGGTCTAGTATTCGGCTTGTGAGTTGGAACGTTCGTGGACTTGGGGACCCAATAAAGCGATCTAAAGTGCAAATATTCCATTCAGCTTTCAATAGTAAATCCAGAGGCGCTGCTATTCTTTATAATAAACGTATCCAGTTCTCCCCTGATCAGGTCATATCTGATCCCCATGGGCGTTATGTTATAGTAAGTGGCACATTATATCAGACTTCAGTTGTATTGGTTAATGTTTACGCCCCTAATTGGGACAACCCAAATTTTATGACTTCCCTTTTTTCCAAAATCCCCAACTTGGATACCCATCGTCTCATTTTAGGGGGGGACCTGAACCTAGTAATAGACCCCAAACTTGACCGATCCCATCCGAAAGTACTTATACCCTCTGCCATGTCGAAGACATTATCATCTATCATGAGCCAATTGGGCTGCATAGATGCTTGGCGCCTGCTCCACCCATTCTCAAAATAATTTTCTTATTTCTCCAAAGTACACCAATCTTATTCCTGCATCGACAATTTTTTTATAGATAGGGCTCTTCTACCTGTTGTGAAATTTCAATTCAATTAAATTCAATTCAATTTTATTTGTATAGCGCCAATTCATAACAGAAGTTATCTCAGGACACTTTTCAAATAGAGCAGGTCTAGACCGAACTCTTTAACATATAACATACAACACAAATCCACTGAATATTCTGCTATTGTTATTTCTGATCATGCTCCTCACATTTTAGATTTAGCACCTATCACTACAAATCAGTGGAAGTTTAATACAGGGCTACTAGCTAAAGCTGAGTTCTGTGATTAAATTTTAAAAAAAATAGATGTTTTCCTTGAGAATAATAAGACTGAGGCCACATCGCCCTCTCTGTTATGGGAAACATTAAAAGCGGTAATTAGGGGAGATATTATCTCATACAGCACACATCTGGCTAGGAAAAATAAACAAAAACAGCAAGAGCTTTTTGATGTAATCCTCAGCGTAGATAGAGAATACTCATGCTCCCCCAGTCCAGAATTGTATGCTAAAAGGGTTACATTACAATCTGATTATGACCTTCTCTCTACACATAAAGCAGAGTACCTTTTAAGATGGACCAAAGGGACTTACTATGAATATGGTGATAAAGCCAGCCGTCTCCTCGCCCTCCAACTTAAACGCCGGTCTGCCTCAAATTTCATATCACAAATTTATGACTCCTCTCGCTCTCTAACTGTCAGCCCAGCTGAAATAAATTCCACCTTCGCTTTCTATTATTCTAACCTGTATCAGTCCGAACCTCCTGCAAATAGGACCACAATGGATAATTTCCTGGATAACATTGATATACCTACCATAGATCCTCGTATTAAAGAGGAGTTGGAAAAACCTATACAGTTGGAAGAATTAACTTCTTGTCTTAAATTAATACAAAATAACAAAGCTCCCGGGCCGGATGGATTTCCGGTTGACTTTTATAAAAAGTTCTCCCACCAACTTGCTCCTTTGTTATTAGACATGTTTAATGATTCACTGAAGCGGGGCTCTCTGCCGCCAACTTTAAATCAGGCTTTAATCTCGCTCATTCCTAAGAAAGACAAGAACTTAGATGAATGTAGCAACTGGAGACCAATAAGTTTATTAAATTCAGACATAAAACTTTTAGCCAAAGTACTAGCATGCCGCTTGGACCCTTGTCTACCAGATATAATTTCTTTGGATCAAACAGGGTTTGTTAGAGGTCGCCAACTATCATCTAACATTAGAAGACTTTTAAATATTGTACTATCTCCTAACACATCCCAAGCTGCTGAAATGGTTATATCTTTAGATGCGGAGAAAGCCTTCGATAGGGTTGAATGGGACTACTTGTTTTCTGTTTTGGGGAAATTTGGCTTTGGGTCTAAATTTATTTCATGGATACAACTTTTATACTCTGCCCCTTCTGCTTCTGTGACAACTAACTTTCAAAGGTCTGAATATTTCCCTCTATCAAGAGGGACCCGCCAAGGTTGCCCAATCTCCCCCTTGCTTTTTGCCATAGCAATAGAGCCTCTTTCCATTGCTCTCAAATCTTCTTCATGTTTCACTGGTAGCTGGACTGGAGCATCGGGTGTCTCTCTATGCTGTTGACCTGTTGCTATATATCACTGACCCAGTTAGCTGTGTAGATAATATTTTACAAATCTTGACAACTTTCGGATCATTTTCAGGTTATAAATTAAACATCAGTAAAAGCGAGTGTTTTCCGGTAAACATAACAGCTAAACAGATCCCATCAAATGCACTACCGTTCCGATTAGCTCATAACAGCTTTCGCTATTTAGGTATCAATATTTCTCATTCTCTCCCCTCACTATATAAGAATAATTTTACAAAATTGGTAATGGAAATTAAGTCTGATCTGGCGCGCTGGGACTCCCTCCCTCTCTCTTTGATAGGCAGAATCAATTCTATTAAAATGAATAGTCTTCCGAGATTTTTGTTTCTTTTCCAGTGTCTTCCAATTTTTTTTATCTAAATCATTTATACATATTTTAGACAAAATGATCTCAAAATTTGTTTGGGCTGGTAAGAACCCAAGAGCGTGTCGAACAACACTCCAAAGAAGCAAATCAGATGGGGGCCTTGCACTGCCTAACTTATTATTTTACTATTGGGCTGCCAATCTTCAAAAAATCCATGCCTGGTGTAATTCTCCCAGTTTGGACTGGTGCATAATGGAAGATGCTTCTTGCCATCCCTCATCTCTTGCGGCTCTGGTTTGTGCCCCTCTAGCTTCTCGTTATCCTAGTTATATCAAAAACCCAATTGTACTTTCCTCTTTGAAAATTTGGAAACAATTCAGGCAAAATTTCAAACTTTCAACACCCATACCATTAAGCCCTATTTGCAATAATCATTTCTTCCCCCCCTCCAATGCAGCCACAGCTTTCACTTTGTGGAGAGAGAGAGGTCTGGTTCGTTTTTCAGATTTATATTCAAAGGGCTTATTTGCTACATTTAATGATCTCCGTGTTAAATATAATTTGCCCCAATCTCACACGTTTCGATATTTCCAAGCACGGAATTATGCTCGCACACACTTTACTTCTTTCCCCCAATCTCCAATGGGATCTCTTCTTACTGAGGTACTCTCTCTTCCAATGGCTCGTAGTAAGATTTCAGTATTATTTGACCTCATATCATCTTCGAACATGTCTTCCCTGGTGAGGGTCAGGGAGAGTTGGGAAAGGGAGCTTGGCTTTGATTTGACAGATGAGTGGTGGAGAGAGGCACTGATCAGGGTCAATTCTACATCTTCTTGTGCTCGTCTCAGTTTAATCCAATTTAAGGTTCTCCACAAAATTCATTTCACAAAAAACAGAATTAGTAGGCTATTTCCAGGCACAAATGATATCTGTGATAGATGTGGTTTATCTCCAGCAGACCATGTTCATAGGTTTTTTTCTTGTCCCAAACTAGTCCATTTCTGGTCATGTTTTTTTAAATCGTTAAACAATGCCCTCAGTATCAAGTTGGAACACTGCCCACTGATATCCATCTTTGGGGTACCTCGTACTCCAACTAGTCTCACTAAGAAAAACTCTGATGTTGTTGCTTTTGCCTCGCTCATAGCCCGCAGACGTATTCTACTGCATTGGAAAAGCCCAAATGCTCCTCCTACTACTTCTTGGTTAAGTGATTTAATGTCCTTTCTGTCATTGGAAAAAGTTAAATACTCCCTAAGAGGCTCAGCAGCCAATTTTTATGAAAGATGGCAGCCTCTCATCACATATGTAAACACCCTCACCTCTTTGGACCCCAACTGAATCAATCTGATGCATCCAATTTTTTATTCTATCAAATTGTTTAGTGAACACACTGGGCATCCTCTATTTATTTGTCTATTGTTTTTACTTTTATTATTATTGTCGATTTCTCTCTTTCACCTCCCTTTGTGTTTTGTTCTATTTTGTTTGTTTGTTCTTTGTATTTATGTACCTATTTGTTTTCACCAACTTGTTGACTACTTGTGCATTTTATTTTTGCTTATTTGTTTGTTTATTTATTTATTTATTTATTTATTTTTTCTTCTCTCCCTCTTTGTTCTTGGGGGATGTTCCTTTTCTGGTTCTTTGTTCTAATGTTCCATGGAACAGAAAAGGGTGGAAAACAGCTGTGGAATAACTGTGTATCTTGTATTGATGCTTGTGAAATGCTGGTCTCCAATAAAAAAAAGTATAAAAAACAAAACAAAAAAAAACCTCCGAACAACAGTCGGATCAATGCAGTTGTTCTCTACACAAAATACACAGCTTCAATCAATCAGCTTCAATCAGTCAGCTTCAACCAATCAGCTTTAATCAATCAGCTTCAATCAATCAGCTTCAACCAGCTTCAATCAATCAACTTCAATCAATCAATCAGCTTCAAACAATCAGCTTCAATCAATTCTATATATTATGAAAGCTTTTGTAACATAATTTTAGTAGTATTTTCATCAATTATAAATATATATGTACAGTTTTAAAAGTTCATTTGTTAATTAATAATAAAAATGATTAATTTATTATATAAATTGGAAATCTGCCATTGGCTTGGATTATTGTAAATACATTAATATATAAATAATGAAATAAATAAATATAAATATTTCACTCACCAAACTGTCGATTCTTTGAGCCTCTCAAACTCTGAAGTCTCAGTTTCCTGCAGACTCACCTGTCAGCTGCTAATAAAACACCTGGTGCCCTGCCCACATGGTGCCCCGCCCACCACACACACAGACACACACACACACACACACACACACACACACACACACACAGACAAGACAGACAGACAGACAGACAGACACACACTAATATATAAAAATGTAATAATGTAATATGTAATAATGTAATATAATAATGTAATAATATAATAATGTAATATATCATAATATAATAATATAATAATGTAATATATAATAATGTAATATATCATAATATAATAATATAATAATGTAATATATAATAATGTAATAATATCATATATAATAATGTAATATGTACTATGTAATAGTGTAATATATAATATGTAATATGTAATAATGTAATATATAATAATGTAATAATGTAATATATAATGTAATAATATAATAATGTAATATATAATAATGTAATAATATAATAATGTAATATATAATAATGTAATAATATAATAATGTTATATATGATAATGTAATAATATAATAATGTAATATATAATAATGTAATAATATAATATGTACTAATATAATAATCTAATAAGGTAATATATAACAATGTAATAATATATTATATAATAATGTTATAATATATAATTATGTAATAATGTAATATATAATAATGTACTAATGTAATATATTATAATGTAATATATAATGTAATAATGTAATATATAATACTGTAATAATATATTATATAATAATGTAATAATGTAAAATATAATAATGTAATAATGTAATATATAATAATGTAATGATGTAATATATAATAATGTAATAATGTATTATATAATAATGTAGCTGTCATTATTATTTTTACCTGGCTTTTCTTGTGAAGGAACCTTAGAGAGTGAGATCATTAGAGGTTTGTTAACAGATACTAGTGTTAATAAAGCTCCACAGATTTGGTTCCCAACTCTCTTTCATGTGTCAGGTGACCTGATTAGAGACGTCCTGATAATACACAGGTGTAACTGTGATCCTGCTCTGTATGGACCGACTGAAGGCCGTCACCGGATCCTGCAAACGGCTATAGGTGTGACTTTATTAGTGCCGAGTCCTGGGAATTAGGGTGGGAGCATTCATGTAGGTCAGCTGTGAATAGATAGACCTATGTGGCACCTGAGCCAGGGGATACACCCACCTGACCCACCTGAGCCAAGTAATACACCCACCTGAGCCAGGGGATACACCCACCTGAGCCAGGTAATTCAATTCAATTCAGTTCAGTTTAATTTGTATAGTGCCAATTTATAACAGAAGTTGTCTCAGGACACTTTTCAAATAGAGCAGGTGTTTTGTCCCTTTTCCATTAAAACCGCAGTTTTCTTCATACACTGGTACCTGGTGAAACATCCCTTCAATGTCTGCCATGATGGCAAACTGTTCATGGCGGAATTTCAGTAAGACGCCAAGAAGTGAGTTGGCTAAGTCAGGTCCAGGTAAGAGTTCATTATTGAGTGATGTTCCTTTGTATGACGATGTACAGCCAAACACTACTCTGATGGTCTTTTTACATTTGTGGTACACTCCATGGTGGGGTATGTACCATACCTTATCATCATCCTGATGAAGATTCTTTGCTGGCACCTTTTCGGCGTAGCCCTTAGCGATTACATCTTCCACTAAACCTTTGTATTCTTCTGCATATTTAGCATCCTTCTTGAATTTTCTAGCAAGATAATGTGCACGCTGTTCAGCTATCTGATAATTGTTGGGCATGATGATATCACTATTACGAAGTGGCAAATGTAAATAATAATGATTATCTTTTAGGGTGGCTGTACTTGATACCAGCTGCATGAATCTGCGGTCTTCCACTTACATTTGAGGTTGTCCCTCATATTCTTTCTCTGGGAAGTCATGGTGGTACTGGTTTACAAGCAGGGTTTCCAACTGTCCGGTTCACAGATGCGGTTCACTAATGCCACTGGCTGTCCAAACCTATCCGTTGCTGAAGATGAGTTGAGTGGTCCATTTACCACCCATCCTAAGAGAGTTCTTACAGCATAGGGTCCATTGCATTGGCTATTTATGATTTGTCATGGCTCCACTGCCTTTGGGGCATCCACTCCAATCAGGAGTTCCACATCCGCATCAATTTTTTGTAGTCGAATTTCCTTCAGGTAAGGCCACCTATTGAGATCATTTTGGGAAAGAATGTTCCTCTTCGTCACTGGTATCTTTGTCTGTGTGTATGTTTTGTGCAGCTCAATAAATTTATTTCCATCCAAATCGCCCACTTGTAGTCCAGTTATTTCATAACTACTTTCAGGTTTATTTTGACCCATTGTTTGCAGAATAACTTTAGTTTTTCGTTCTGTTAAATTGAGTTTTCTCATAAGGTTCTCTGTACAGAATGTGGCTGTGCTGCCAGGGTTCAGAAATGCATAGGTTAGTATTGTTTTGCTTCCTTTGGTGGTTTTTATCTGCACTGGTACTATTGAAAGTTTGCAATCTTCTCCAGCCCCGATATCCTCCTCCTTATCAACTGAGAAGAGAGTTCCACTGACAGATTTTTTTGTTGAATTCATTATTTCATGAGTTGGTTGAATTGTCTGCAGGTTTGTTAATGTGCAATATGCTGGGGTGTTTCCTTCGAACTGGCATGTCTCCTTTTTCAGTTTTGTCTGTTCCCTTGGTTAAACGCCAAGCATGCGTTTTTTCAATAGTTTCACCTTGATTCAATTCAATTCAATTTTATTTGTATAGTGCCAATTCATAACAGAAGTTATCTCAGGACACTTTTCAAATAGAGCAGGTCTAGACCGAACTCTTTAAAACATTAATTACAGAGACCCAACAGTACCACCAATGAGCAAGCACTTGGCGACAAGGGCAAGGAAAAACTGCCTGTTAAAAGGCAGAAACCTAGGACAGATCCTCCGGCTCTAGGTGGGTGGTCGTCTGTCTCGACCAGTTGGGGTGAGAGAGAGAGAGAGAGAGAGGGAGAGAGAGAGAGAGAGAGCGAGAGACAGACAGACAGGTGCACAGTAACAACAGTATTGGCAATGGCAATCTAGCAGGACCATGGCAGGAGGCTCCACCAGGATCGACAAGAACCTGCGAGACAAGAAAGCACAAGAACTCCGGGGAAGAAGTGAAGTTAGTAACATGCGTTAATGGGACATGAATGAGTGCAGAAAGAGAGAGGAAGGGAGGAGCTCAGTGCACCATGGGAAATCCCCCCGATAGTCTAGGCCTATAGCAGCATAACTAAGGGATGTTTCAGGACTCACCTGATCCAGCCCTAACTATAAGCTTTATCAAAGAGGAATGTCTTAAGCCTACTCTTGAATGTGGTGAGGGTGTCTGCCTCCCGAACCACAAATGGAAGCTGGTTCCACAGGAGAGGAGCTTGGTAACTGAAGGCTCTGGCTCCTGTTCTGAGGACTGCCCACTTCAGAACGGTGTTCTGGGGTATAGGATACTATGAGCTCTTTAAGTATGAGGGGCCTTGAGAGCTTTATAGGTGAGGAGGAGGATTTTAAATTCTGTTCTACATTTTACAGGGAGCCAATGCAGAGAAGCTAGTACAGGAGAGATGTGATCTCTTTTTCTAGTTCCTGTCAGTACTCGTGCTGCAGCGTTCTGAATTAATTGGAGCGTTTTAATGGACTTATTGGGGCAACCTGATAAAGAGTTGCAGTAATCCAGCCTTGAAGTAACAAATGCATGGATTAGTTTTTCTGCATCTGTCTGTGATAGCATGTGTCTAATTTTTGTAATATTACGTAAATGAAAGAAGGCAGTCCTAGAGGTCTGCTTTATGTGGGAGTTAAATGACAAATCCTGATCAAAGATAACTCCAAGATTCCTGACAGTGGTGCTAGAGGCCAAGGTAATGCCATCTATAGTAACTATATCTTTAGACAGTGAGTCTCTAAGGTTTTTGGGGCCAAGAACAAGAATTTCGTTTTTTTCTGAGTTTAACATCAGAAAATTGCAGGTCATCCAGGATTTTATGTCCTTAAGACATGTTTGTAAATTAGATAATTGATTAATTTCATTGGGCTTGATTGATAGATATAACTGCGTATCATCTGCATAACAGTGAAAGTTAATGGAGTGATAAAGTAATTATTGTAGGTGATTTTAATATTCATGTGGATGTTGACAATGACAGCCTTAGTAATGCATTTATATCATTAATAGACTCAATTGGCTTCTGTCAGAGTGTAAATAAACCAACTCATTGTTTTAATCACACTCTTGACCTTGTTTTATCATATGGCATTGATATTGAACATTTAATAGTCTTCCCACATAATCCTTTCCTATCTGACCATTATTTAGTAACTTTTGAATTCATACTATTAGATTATAAGCCATTAGGCAAACTTCCTACAGCGATGTCTATCTGACAGTGCTGTAGCTAAATTTAAGGAGGAGATTCCTTCAGTGTTTAATTCAATGCCATGTCTGAATTTAACAGAGTCCTATAACAACTTTAGTCCCTCTGAAATTGATAATCTTGTCATAGTGCTACAGGCTCACTACGATCAACATTAGACTCTATCGCTCCTATAAAAAGGAAATTATTAAAACATAGGAGACTAGCACCTTGGTATAACCACCAAACCCGCCAGTTAAAGCAAATAGCTAGGAAATCTGAAGGAAATGGCGCTCTTCCAAATTATCAGAATATCGCTCAAATTGGCAAGATGATCTTAGATTTATAGAAAGGCCCTCCGTAATGCCGA